CAGTGCTAAATGGCATGGCCAAGGGCAGAACTGGCCTGGAGCCCATCTCCCTCTCCAAAATCTGGGAAAAGGCTGGGGAGAGGGCAATCAGGAGCCATGGGAAGGGGGGAGCAGGAACCCAGGCTGTGAGAGACAGTACTGGGCAGAGAAGGGTGTGCCCTGAGTCTCAGTTGGCCAAGCACTAAAATACAGGCAGCACCAAAAACTCCCAGTGATGCCACATCCCTCGGGCAGGGACAACACAGGGATTTGCCCTTGGGGACACGTGAACCCGCCCGTGGGCCCCCCAGGCTGGGCACCACGCACCTCTCGGATCTCCTTGATCTTGCAGCCTCCCTTGCCAATGAGGGACCCGCACTGGCTGGCGGGCACCACAAGCCGCAGGGTGACCGGGGGCCGGCTGGCAGCTGTGCTGTTGGTCATGGAGCTGCTGATGTCCTGCGAGGAAGAGGAGGTGTTGAGGGCTCGGCCCTGCTGGAACGGCACGCGCTGGGGCCGTGCCCGGCACAGGGACAGGGAGGTGACGCTGGCACCAGTGGCCGAGGCCAAGGTGACCTCGGGGCTTTCCCAAGACTTCCTCAGCAGCCCAGAAAAAAACACAGATGTATTTTTGGGAAGCAGCATCCAAACTCTGCTGCCTCAATGGAAATGGGTTTAGGCACTGGCCCAAGCTGGGTCCCACCTCAGCCAAGCAGGAACCGGTGCTGGAGGGGGACAGGGGACTGGGCAGGGGGGGCTCGGGGACTCCACGGCTCCAGGGTCAGCACGGAGCCTCCCGCTGCACCAGGGATCAAGGCAGCAGCTCCGGGAAAAACAATCCCGGCGCCGATTACAGCGGTCATGTGCTGGCAGGGGGAGGGGAGGCACAAGGCCAGGGCTCAACTGACCTACTAAAAGCAAAGCTTCAGCTCCAAGGCCGGTGCCCAGAGCGCTGCAGAGCCATGCAGCCCGTGGAGGGCTCCGGCTCCTGCGTTCGGCACAAATAGCTCCAAGCCCTGCAGCCTCTAACGCTGCAGTGAGAGCAGGGGGGTGTGGGGACACAGCTGCCAGCACAGGGTTGTTTCTCCCTGGGTAGTGGCCCAAATCTAAAGGGAAATAGAAATTGTACCCCCACAGGCAAGGTGAGGGCCACAGAGCTCTGCCCCATACCAGCTGAGGGGCACTCCCAACTCCTGCTCCTTCCAATGTGGAAACCTCGACATCACAGCCCTGAGCAGGCTCTAACACCTGCAAGATGCAGGTTATCTAGCAGCAAAAGCCCCCCTGGAAGTCACTGATTTAACAGGACCAGGGACACGAGGCAGCTCCTCCAGCCCCACACAGCTGCAGCCCCAGCTCCTCCCTGGCAGGGCTGGGGAGAGAGCTCAGCCCTGGGGTGTACTGGGAGCAAGCGGCACCAGCACGAGCAGAGCCAGGGGGATTCCAAGCCCTGCTCTGCCCCTCGCCGTGGGCAAGAGTCCCTGTGGGGCTCTGGCTCCAGCACTGCCTGGACCTTGCCCCAGCGCAGCACCGGACAAAGATCGGGGCCAGGCAGGGGAACGCCGGCTGCCCGTGCGGAACAGCGGCCCTGGGCCCCCTGGGGCCCATCCCGGGGTCAGCTCTTCCAGAGAGAAGGGATAAACGGGGCAGCAACTGCAGGGGGCCGTGGACACACCTCTTCCAGTTTGTCAATGATCATCGCAAAAGCTTTGAAGATGGCGTTGGTGGGTCCCGCCAGGGTGATGATCCGCTCGGGGCAGTTCCCTTCCGAGATGTTGATGCGAGCTCCGCTCTGCGGGGAGGCAAACGCCACCTCAGCGCTCCGGCCGCACGGGATTCCTCCGGATCCCCCGCCGGGGACAGAGCCCTCCCTCCTCCTCCTCCTCCTCCCCTCCCTCGGCTCGGGCAGCCATCTTCTCCTCCTCGGCTTCCTGCCGCGCCTGCCCACAGCTCCCGGCATTCCCCGCGCCGCCGCGGCCGCGCTGCCTGCGGAGCCCGCGCCAGGCCCGCCATCCTGCCCCGCGCCCGCAGCCCGCACTCACCTCCTCTCGCATCTTCTTCACCGACTCGCCTTTCTGTGAGGGACAGAGAAGGGAGAGAGGCGTCAGCGCGGCGCTGGGCACGGAGGGAGGCGGGGAGGGGGACGGGGAGAAGGGTAAAGGGAGGGCTAGGAGAGTTTGCTCCTCACTTACCTTCCCAATGATGCTTCCCACCTCCTGGGATGGAAACAAAAGCACCGTTAGTCAGCGTTTTAAAAACTCCTGGAGCCCCAAGCCTAAACTCGGCTCTTTTCGCAGTCAAAACCAGCTCCTGAGCACTTGAGTTCTGCCCCTCAGATAATGGGGGTTATTCCCAGTTGTGCTGATCTTGCTCCCACCTTAGCTCCCATCGGGTCGTTCTGCGACCCCAGTAATCATTTTCTTCTCTGGCTGCACCCAGGACCTGCCCAGGCAGCAGCAGCACATTCCTGGCCCCACAGCAGCTCCAGGAGATGCCCCGGAGGCTGCCAGCCCACCCCTGCCAGCCCGGGCTGCACGCAGGGCGCCGGGAACACGAACCTTTCCGTGCATGAGTAGCCGGATGGTGAGCGTGACATTGAGACCCCCTTCGATGACTCCGGTGTCCATGGTGGGCAGCGCGGGGTCGGCTCAGGCTGCGGCAGCGCTCGGGCCTCGGCTGGGGGGAGAGGGGCTGGGTGAGCGAGGGGCTCTGCCAATCCCCCCTAGCCTGTGCAGGCAGGATTCCAGCCTCCCCGTGCTGCTTCACCCCTCCAATCGCCCCCTGAAGTGTTGGGATGATCCGTGGTGGTTTGGATCCTCCTCCAATGAATGTCCAGAGCTGAACTGGCCCGATCCCACCCGGATCCAGCAACTCTTGGGGTCATGAAGGTCCTGCTCAGCCCCTGCCTCCTCCCAGCCCTGCTCCTTGCAGGGGCTTCTCTGAGGGACGACTGAATACTTCAGGGTGACCCCCGGTAGCACTGGGACACAAACGGTTCCTGGACACAACTGGGGATGCTGAGGGGGCACTGAGGACTAATCGTGGTCCCTACAGGTCCGGGGAAGCTGCTGCTCCCTGAGAGCCCCACACTTTTCCCAGGCCAAGTCTTCCTGCAGCTGCCCGATGGGAGCGGGCACCCCAGTGCCGGGGGTTTGGCCCGCTGGGCAGCCGGGATTAAGAAGAAAATAAACCCCATCCACGTTCCCGAGCCCGTGCGGGGCCCCTCGGAGCAGGTTCCGAGGCAATTCCCTCGGACCCAGATAAGGCCACATGAGCGCACGATCAGGTTTCAAACCACCTGAGTCGGCAGCGGTTGCAAAACAGCCCGGCCGGCCCCAGCCGAGCTTTTCAAGGGAATCCGGTAAATAAACTCCTATTTGTGCCACCGCTTCTGCCCCATCAAAGTTTAACCATGGCCGAGGCAGGCGCGGGGCCGCGCTGCCTCGCTGGCACCGCAGGTTTTGCCGCGGCCTCCATGAGCTCAGCCCGGCATTCCCCCGCATCCATCCCGGCTCGGGGAGCGGAGCCCGGGATCGCAGCCCCGGCAGCGAGGCGAGGGCAGAACGGGCCCCGAGCCCGCCCGTCCCGGGGACAAAAGCGGCCGAGCGGCCCCGCCGGGGGTGCCGCGGGCCCGGGCCGGGCTCCTGGCGAGGCCGCTCCGCAGGGAAACTGACCCGAGCTGCGCCCGGCCCCGTGCCCGATCCCCCGCCCCAAAGCCGGGGACACGGCTCCGGAGCGAGCCCGGCCCTGCGGGGGACGGGGGGGAACCGGGCCGGGGGGAGCGGAGCGGGGCGGCTGTCCCGGAGCGACCCCGGGGCCGCGAGGGAGCCCCCGGATGGGGCCCGATCACAAGGCGGGCTCGGGGGATCGCGGGCCGGCGGCTCCGAGCGGGACCCGGAGCGCGGCGGGGGAAGCGGCCCGGTGCGGGGACAGCGGGGGCGCCGGGCTCGGGGGGGAATGGGCCTCTGCAGCCCGGAGCGGGCCGGGGCTCCGAAGCCGCTCGGAGCGGGGATCAGCGTTGCGGGGCGGGCAGGCCCGGGGGGAGGATCCGGACTCGCCCGTCCGGGCGCCCCCTTCCCGCTCCGGCGGGGGGAAAACAACAGCGCGGGATGGCGGAAAAACCGGGCCCGGGCGGGAAAGGAAAAACTCCTAAAATAAAATTTAAAAAAACCCCAAAAAACTGAAACAAAAAAAAAAATCCAAGATTTAAACTCCCAAGAAAACGGAGTAGAAAGAAAAAGAAAAAAAAAAAAAACCCCCCCCT